TGTCTTAGATTTTCCTTGGTACTTCATAGTTTTTGTACTCTGTCATTTAAACATTTCACTAATCCTATTTTTACTGCCATAGGATGGGATGATCCGAAACCCAAGTATCTGTTTGAATGTGTGAGTTTTCTGTAAACACTAGTGTTTGACTTCCCATCTCCTTTCCTTTTTACGTTGCAATCTAACATTGGGAGCTCCCCTTCCTGATTTTCCAATTCGTAAGTGAATTGAATTGCCTCTACCTTCGAGTTGATGTGTTTGAGAAATCTATCTATATCATGTGTTCTGAGAACACTAAATGTGTCATCTACATACCTCCACCATACTTTTGGGGTGGGGGTGAAAGTTTCAATCGCTATGCTTTCCCACAAATCCATGAATATATCTGCTACAACCGGGGATATTGGTGATCCCATGGCAACTTCCTCAGTTTGGTGGTATATTTTCCCTTGGAATTTAAATACTGTGGAAGTCAGGCATAGCTGTATTCCCAGCATTATGTCCTCGAGTGGCACTTACGTCCTAAGTTCGAGTTCTTGGTCAGAAATGAGTTCGTTTCCGACTGCCTCTAAAGCCATATTTATTGGTATCCGTGTATATAAACTGACAATGTCAAAACTAACTATTTTTTCTTCGTTATCTAATTTTAAATTGTCTAATCTGTGTTTTAATTCATCGGAATTTTTTAGTCTAGATTTCCAGTGGCTTTTTAGAGGATTTAATACCATGGCTAAATATTTAGATAGTTCATAAGTAGTTGAATTTCTAAAACCAACTATAGGCCTAATTGGGTATCCTGATTTATGAACTTTGACAACACCATACATCCTACTAGGGTTATTAGATTTGGGCATTAAATTAAACTACTTAGACCCACTTAGAAACGGCTACATTCGGCGTATAAGGTCCGCTGTGGATTTCTTAACTTAATTCATAACTGTGTCTATTGATTTATTAATTTCTTCATATGGTCCTGTTTGTATGTGAGTATTTACTTTGTCCAAATAGTCCGATGTGTCTAATACTACGGTTGTGTTTCCTTTGTCTGACTTTGTGATTACTATGACCTTGTTGTTCTTAAGGTGTTTCAGGGCTTCTACCTCTGGTTTTGTTAGGTTAGGCTTTCCACATTTTTGCGTGTTAATGTAAGTGCACATTGTGCCCGTACTTCCTTAGCCGTTGTTTTGTCTATACCGCTTAGTGCTGTTTCTATTTTAGGGATGATATCCTCAGGTTTCAGCTTGTCTACTGATACAATGAAATTTAGTCCTTTTTCTAATACACCTATTTTCGTAGGACTTAATATATGTGATGAGAGATTGATAACCCACTTTGATTTATCGAGCACTGTTGACTTTGGATTGTTGATTTCATCATTCTGAGATGAAGATTTCTCCTCTAATAATTTGTTGAACGTTTTCACTTGACTATTTTTGGACTTTTTGAAAGTTGCTGATTTTGCCTTACTGGAAGACTGTGTAATAAGATCATAATCTACGTTGGTAACTATTCCTTTTAGCTTTTATTTTAATTGCTCAATTTCACATCTGAAATGTTGCAACTTTTTAACGATTCTGCGGATCTCTCCTTTCAGGCATAAAATTTGTAAGCTTTCTATTCTGTTTCGAACTCTGTCCGTTCGAACTGGAGCTCGTAGACGTAGATATTTAGAAATGATTTCATTTTTAAGCATCGAATGTTGAAAATACGACGATTTTCATGTCTTGCTTCAGTTTGTGAAAGTCAAGTGAGTTTATTGATAAGTCTTCGTACAGGAAGACCATAAGTCATAATATTATATTTGTATAACTTGGCCACTGTGGCAGTAAGTAATTCCATATTAGTTAGTTTATTAGATATATCACACAGTGAAACAGTTTTATTTACCGGATGACGTTTCGAACGAAATTGATTGTTCATAATCGTATCAATTGTAATCACATGACTTTGAAACTTCACTTTAATAGTTTTCTTTGTTTACAAAAATCGAAATATAAATGTACTAGCTATTGTTGACATGTGTGTGCTCAACGTGAAATATCGAGAATAAAGAGCACATCGCCATTTCATACGTATTTCTAAAGTCTTTACCAAATGACATTATGGAGAGTGCTAATAATAATCGATTCATTCAAAACAGAATGTAGTTGACATCATGTTCTAATATGTTCCATTCCATTTACTCGTTACACTGCATATCAAAAGTAAGTATAAATACGACAATTTTTATATTATCGGCGATGTGAAAACAGATCGAAAAGTAATACACATATACTGACAAGAATATATCATTGATTGGAATATTCTCAGGTGGCGTGTTTTGTTGTCGTTGTTCGCAGAAAAAATCAACAGCTGCATGTCTGACATGCCTCTCGTTTCTTTCATCAAATGACAGTCAAATGTGACTCCCTCAAGTGACTGTATAATGCCGTTTAAAGATAGGGTCTATCGCTGCAGTCCTTTCTGAAGAGATGTGATGGGTGAGTTGTGAATGAAAAGTGAGCTATCATACTGACAAGAGGATATTCTCCAGTTTCCTTTATGAGTGTAACCGTTTCTCATGGTGGCGGCCAACGGAATATGAACAAGCAGTAATGTTGATGGATTGGAATCTAGATATGTATGCAATGGCGATGTGCTCTTCATTATCGATATTCCACGTTCAGCACACATATATCAACAATAAATTGTACATTTATATTTCGATTTTTGTAATTGTTATTCTGCTTCTTACTGGAATTGCTGGGACATGGCATGTTAGTTGACTTAAGATTAGTTTGGAAAAGAGTTCAAATTGAAATATACGTCAAAGATATCGCGTAGTAGCTTCTTAAACTTCTTAAATTAACCATCCTGCTCAGAGAACAAAATCATATGAAATTGCAATTGATAAACATCACATCCCTGATGGAAATAGACTGAGGATTGTAGATTGTGATCACACTTCGAAAAGACGAGGGAAGACTTTTACTATAATCGCACATGCTTGACTAAGGCGCATCTTGTGTCGCTGGAATATATGATCTTTTTACACGTGTGGATGCAAGTCGATGGTTCTCTACAATAAACACATACACAAAGTAACCTCACACTCAGTGTGTTCTATCTTCTCTTATTTCCTTGCCAGATCATCACTCCAAGTGTACTTGCCGTTATAGCCTGTAACTGGGTTATCTATCTCATCAATACTCACTTCTTCCCAGAATGACTGTTGGCGCTGTACAAGCAGTGGTTACGTAAAATGCGTGATGGATATTAAGGAGGTGTCCGTCTGAGTGTTCCTCATTTATTTTCATATTGAATCAATGCAATCATCAAAGTGTGCCAGTTAAGTGTAAAGTGGTTGTCAACTGAGCATTGGGAGATGTCACTCTTGTCACTGATACCGTTATATAGTATCGCATAACTCTTCGATACTAAACTCTGAGCTGAAATCTGATCCGGTTAATAAAGTCTAAGCAGAAGTCAAATCAAAATCGTCGGCAATTAGTGAATCCTGTAGCTGTTGGTTTCAGCCCGTGGCATCCTGCAGTCTGTCTGGTTGAGTTCGTGGAGTCTCTGTCAACCTATGGCTGAGGACTGCGGAGCACATTGTCTACACGATATTTGTTGACTCCAGTCAGGAGCTGTCACTTAAAGATTATACTTCTGATCTTCACAAACCCGCTTATTGACAAAACGTGGAATTTCATTGGATAAGGTTGCACACGAATAAAATTGATCATCGCCTTAAAATGATCAATGTGGTTGTGTAGTATAATATGCGAGAATATAGCTACTCGAGATTAAATCTTAAAGTAACTCTAGCGATTACAGCAGCTCTAGTGTGCGTAAAGACAACTATACACAACCAAAGTGGCATAATGTGCACTAAGATAGATGTTTCTTCTGGGAAGAGTTCTTCATCTACAGTAAGTCAACTGAAGGACGCAACAGCAATAGACAAAACCAACATCACCTTCGAATTATGTTGGAGCGACTGAAGTAAACACTACATAAGTCAAACTACCACAGAAACGCATTGAGTTCCTTGACTGTCAAAGTGTATGCCCTATCTGGTCAAACATCAACGAACAAACTCTAGCTGGTAAAAGGCACGCCATCCACTCACTCGTTCATATTACTGCATACAGTCAACCACAGACATCAACTCAACTAGAACAACCAACGTTCAAATATTAGGTGGAGCGAACGCCAAGTACGTCAGAGAATTTCTAAAAGCCTACCTGGTATTCCGGTGAATCTGCAAATTACAGTCACATTGACACATATAGATCTTACCAATCCATCAAAGGAAAATCTCATGCACAAAATGTGAAACTTCATGTCAAGGAAACAATCACTACCAATATCACAAGTAGCATAGTAGGTGTAAAAACAGAGAAGAGTAAGCGATCATGACATTCGTGGTCACCATGTCGCGTGACTGATTAACTGGTGGAGAACTTTCAAGCTCATTTAGTCAAATTGAAGTGTGCGCTGAAAATGTAGCTTAGTAATGGAGTGAAGAATTCACCAGTGAACCAGGCAGTATAGACAACTCAAGTGCATCGTATGCATTCCACCAAGGAACTGCAACTTCACGGAAGATTACAGCGTCTTTGGTAAAAACAACTCAATTCATACATAGTTGAATCAGACTGAGCTGAAGAAATGTCAATCAAATACTGTATCCTTGAAGACCTCACTTTCTTTTCTGAAATGGAGGAAACTACCAAAGTGAATGCGGGAAGTCCTGGAATGATTGAGTCACAAGAACAAACGGAAGACATTTTGTGTACTACTGAAATGAAATAGTACTTTCAAATGATGCTCGAATACCATAAACTTCATGTGGACGTCATCACATTAATTATTCATACTGTTTGGATTAAAGTGTTTCTGCAGATTGACGGATTTCATAACACCTATCAGATTCCACAGATTCATGATGTCAGTCACGCCACGTCATGAGATGCTGTTTCACTTACCAATCACAACACTCACATTCTTCCACAAATGAACGGCGAAATTATGATTATTGTAATCAACCAATGATCAGAATACAACGATAGTTTTGACTGGTTGTTGTGGTATAAATAAGCGGACGGAAAGTCAGTTAGCATAAGAAGATGGTCTACTTCACATACAGCCACGTAGCTGTCTCTCTCACTGTGATCTCATTTGCAGCCATAATTTCAGGTAAGCATTTTTTCAAAAGATGGTATATATGTGAATTGATCCTAGCCGTATTCACTAGCACTGTTGAATATTTCGCCAGTCACTCTAACAGCTCACACTCTCTGGTTTTTCGCGTATGCTTTCACCTCGAATTCATCTTGCTTGACATGTGGTTGCCAGCTGTGTAATAGTACTCATGCAGGTATCTCTCCTCCTCATTCTGACTGAGAGACTATGTATATCAAAAGTTGTACAGTGGCATGCTCTCTCATTCTGAAAGTGTTTTTCGGCTAAAATTTTCAAAGGTTGCTAAAATATATTTTTTAGGACAGTGTGTTATTGCACTGCAATGGCATACATACGGTGATCTGGTGGTACATTTTAAGTGGAGAAATTGTTCTGATAATCTTCAGTTTTCTGAAACTGCTTCTCTGTATAATAATTGTCGTCTACACTTTTTCACTTCATTTCAAGGTGAATCGACGAATGTAACTGTACTTGAAAGTTGGCTAAATGAAACTCAACGTAAGAATGAATAACGTATATGTTATTTAGGCTTGTTAATTTACTAGAGAATTTGACATTACAATTGTTTGACAATAACGAAAGTTTTACAATGAACGTTGTAGCCATGGTCTTCCTTGACGAATCGAAAAATGATATGATATCATCGAAGACAGTGGAGAATGATTGGCTTGCCTGAACTTCTTTCAGTCGTCTTTAGTGAAACTACTTTCAATGTGTATTATTCATTTGCACTAAGTAGTCTTACGTGATATATAAGAATTCATTTAAAATATTCTCGCCTCTCCACAGATGAAATATCCAAAGCAGTTTCGGAACTCAAAGTCGCAGAAGGGAGAGTAAAAAATATTACAGGTATATACAACCTAGAGCCTTATCGCTAATAATTAATTTTTTCATGATGACGAAATTATGCTTCGAATCGTTCTTTCAAAATTTATACTAATCATGAAATCAATCATGTCATCTAGTACGTAGCATATAGTGAGATAACTAAAATACACATCTGCACAAGCTGTAACTTTCAACGCTTTCGCCTTTTTATTTTCCCAGACAAGATTCTCAGTCAAGATGCAAGCTTACGAGGAGAAATAGAAGATTGTAAGCAAACCGCATCAGTTGAAATGATGGACAATCTATTTTAGATATGAACTGCCTGGAAACTGCATACAAATACAAATGGGGAAAAACCACATTTGACTGTACGTTCTAAGTTTTATTCTCGAAATGCATTCAATACACTGTGCTTCCATTTGATGAGTTAGAAGTCACATTCTTGATACACTCTCTGTTGATGATATGCTCTCTTACCGATCATTTCAATAGGAGACGTCTATTTGACTACAGCGTGACGAATCTTTACAAAGCTGTTAGCTAAAAATTGATCAGAGCTGCTAAACATGTCAATGCCTTTCTATCTTTCTTAGATATCTCAGAACGTCTTCTGGACAGTAAGCCGGATATTTTGAATCATTTCTTTTCTTATCTACCATCGCAACTATTTCTCGTTAATATTCTGGCCAGCAATCTTCACCTGGCTTATAATCACGCGTAACCACCTCAACTATCATTTTTTAATTCATGTATTTTTGCATTTTATTTACTGACGGTAAATAAACATGAAAGATCTCTTCATGCTCTGAAAGGCATGAAGAAGTGATTGACTGCAGATGTTTGACTGCTGCAATTCTCCTTTCGGATATTCGTTGACAATCTGTCGACTAGTAAACAAATTGTATTCGCTTAATTGTCATTGTGTCTGCATTCAACCTGAATCAATGTGTATCCATATTATAACGAAAACAATAGACATGGATTGACTGATATGTGCGAAACTAATTTATTTTCAGAGAGTGAGGAAGATTCAAATGATGATATGATAACATGTTACCTTCAAGAAGCCACAGTATATGAGGGTAAGTAACTTTTTATTACGCAAATGGGTCTCAACTATTTTGTTTGTGAGTAGTAGCGACTTTTGAAGTTCCAGTCTTCACCTAACGAAACGGTTTTCCTACTATTACTCACCCACAAATAGAAAAAATGAAGGAGTTCCCTGTGGAAAAATGTTTTGAAAATCAACCTCCAGCGAAAGAAGAAGGTATGCGTTTTTTCCCTTTTTACATTCCTGATAAACTGAATAACATTATTGCATACACCTACGATGAGTGTATATTTCCACTTGTCGCAATAACTTCATCATGATTTGAATTCATGAACATCCACTTCGTACTGTACAATAGTCTTTGATGAGGATTTTCAATAGTCAAAAATTGATGTACGGAGCAGATGAACAAATTTAATGGTTCTCTAGGATGTTGTCAGTCGTCTGGAGATGAAATTATTCAGGTGGTGTGAATATGAGTAGAGTCACACAATCAAAGATACTATGGTGAATGTGAAATTTAATGAGTACTGAAATAATATCCTGCTGAGTGCTGTTTGGATATGATGCAAATATAACATCATGCAAGTGGATGAGTTTGTGAAGTAGTGAATTGCTTGAAAATGTGCGTGAAACAGATTATTCGGCGTCATTAGATGTAAATTAATTTCATGTTCAAATCTCGTAATTTTATTCTGAGAAATCCACACTGGAAGATCTATTCTTTCATCAATTATTTCAGATCTGGAGCAACTGAAATGGCAAATCGAATCAGTATTTTACTACAACTACTTGTTTAGCTCTGAAATTTGTGAGTTCATTTTCTCTGTATAATTAATATTCAGAGTCTATCGAATATTTGTTATCATACAAATGCAGTGATAGACAACAATCCCTTTCACTGCTCAATTCAAATTTCTTCAATTCGTCTTTGTCATTTCCAGTTTACAAGAATTTTTTCACAACCAAGTTGAATATATTGAAAGGTGAGAAATATTTTGCATCAACTTACAGCGTCAATCACTCGGGTGTACACTGCAACCGTTAAATAATATTTTTCGCCGTCGACTATTCTCCCACCATACAGCATAAAGACAGGTGAATGAGTATATGGATGAAACTGGAATCTTGAATACGCCTGTTTAATCGAATGGGAAAGCATCATCAGTGACGTTGTAAGTTACCGTTCGGGTATTGCCCGATGATTAATATCGTGGCAGTATTAAATAAAGGGTACCATGAATGTGTGAGAATACACATGTACATTTTTTTGGGCGTCAATGAGAATATGGAAGCAAGCTAGTGAAATCCGCACGACTCATGGTGAAATATTGAAAGATAGCAACATATGTACTCAGACAAATAATGAGAAATGAAATTATCACTCACTGAAAATGTTCACTATTCTGAGATTGCATGAATAGGCACATAGTTCACCACCAATCATCCTTCTCTCCAGGATACGTGTTTCTTGATTACTTCACCACTTACAATTTTGTAGCCAGCAATATTGCTAACTGATTTTATTCTCATACAGGAAATTGAAGAGAAGAATCAGGATGAATGTTGGAGTCAGCGTACCACTGAATGCATGTCTATTGTTGAAGCTTTCGTAGATATTTCATTTTAAATTAAATTAAATAAATCACTTTTCTGCTACACCACTTTCTCTTCATGAATTCAAACTTTTATTGGATGTGGATAGTATTTGAATTTGCGGTGGTAGATTTTGTGGTGGGCTGTCGTGTTCGTGAATGTGGTAATGTGAAACTAATTGTAAGGTGGCTGTTATAGGACTGAGTCCCTTCAGAAGGGTGTGAATCAGATACTTCTGAGAGTGAGGAACATGGCTCAAATTGTCGGATATGTTATTCAGACACATGAATTCTGTGGTAGATGACATTGTATCTGTTGGCAAGCGGACGCGTGGAAACATAAACTCGTAACCAACCTCAACTGGAATACAACTCAGCCAATCTCTTTCGAAGGATTATTCACGGATACGACAGACACAAATGGACCAAGAGCACGTAAAATAAGTTTCAACGTGGCTTGTAGTTGAGTAAGTGGCCAGACGAGAGTCAGTAATAACAGCTACTCATAAAGACAACATTTCGATAACGATGAATGAGGAGACAGCTATATAGAAAAGAGATATTTCAAGTACAAAATATGTATTGCATTGAAACGTGAAGGTTGATAAACTTGCAAGTCAGAAATCAAGATATCCTTGGACGAGTTTCCAAATAATCTGTGAAGGAAAAGCCAGTATGGGGATTGAAGCAAATCGTTATTACTCACGTGTATTCGTCCAGTTCCAAAAATATATTCCACGTAGAATGGCATTCACACATATTGCGATCGTGCATCACACATCTGAAGTTATACAAGACGCTTCAATTTTGACTGAGTCAGGTTTTCTTTTCAGGAACACATGATGTGGATCAGTATGGGAGTGGAGGTAATTCAACAAATAAACTCAGCTGCAACTCCCACTGATGTCACCGATAGATTCTACACACTATCTGAATTCCTATCGCTCCTCTTGCCTCTCAGAGCTGATCACGCTGAAATTGGATATTTCTTTAAAAATACTGTTTGCAATAGACTTTTCATTTTCATCATTGCTATAATTAGATCACATTAATGTATAAATACTAATAAAAGTGATAAATAATCAAAAGACACACGACGCGTGATGTTGACCTCAAATAACACAAATATTTCTTCATTCTGTAAACAATTACCCGTCGCCAAAATCACCTCATTTGCAGCGTGTTCATAATATTTACTAATCTCTATTCACCTGACACACTTCTACTAAGCATTCCATAGCATTAGTTGATCTTCGTAAACAGCACAAATATTGCTTCATTCTGTAAACTATCATGCGCCTCCACAATCTCCTACAATCACTATACAGCTAGCACGCTGGTTTCTGATGGAACACACTTGCATCATTCATTCTTTCACCTTGAGAAATGAACTGATGCGATCAGGTGAACGGAACATCTAGGTTCTACTTTCAGATGTGTACATCAGGTACCACATAATGTTGCGTATCAGTGGCAGAACACTCATAAAACTAATCTCATAACGTCAAACATAGCGAAGGCGTTGAGTCATCAACATGAGCCCTAATTATCCCACAAATACCACAAATACCGTTTGGAATAAAGCTGTTAATATTATTATTAGTATTATAATCCAAGTAGTTTCAAAAATACAAACATAAATGTAATACTGTACTAAGAATGTACTTTGAGTATGACCAGGTAACCCACCTTCATTTTTGCGTCCATATTCTTATGTGGATTTTGAATTGTTCCCTGCTGGCGTGGTTCGCTCCTAGAGACCCTTGTTGCTGAACTTCACTGGCCGGCCATCTGATCTCAGCAAAGTATTGAGAGGAGACAGCTGTTGATGAAAGTGTGTAGTTTGTCCTAGGTGCCTTTCGTGACGCGGAACATTGCCAAGTCTCTGATTCGTATAGTGAGCAGCACTGACTGAACATTGTATTTGAACGTTTGGATGCCAATTTTCATGCTGAATTCTGTTGATGTCCACACAGACTTGAGATCAGTGTAAGCTAGCCCTGCATCCACAATCCTCGATTCAGTGATATCCTCATCATTTCGGACCATATTTATTTGGCTCTTCTGTTCAGTGCATTGTAGTTTGCATTCAACTCCTGTTTTTGTTGCTCTCGACACCGTGGATTAGTAATCTTTGGTTTCACGATACTTCTGTCTTCTATTAGTCCCCGTTAGTCGGTAGTGAGCCAGTGTTTGACATGTTCCTTCGATCTGCCTAGAAATTCAATTCGGGTTTCACTGCACAACGTTTCAGCTTGTCTCAGTGCTGCTCAACGTTGACCTCTTCGCTAGTGTTGGTTTGTGTATCGCCTTTATCCTTATGTTTGCAGTGAAGATGTCCTTTGTGGCCTGATCCTTAAGTTTTTGATATGTGAATTCGGCTTGTGGTCTACCTGCAACTGTCTCTCTTTGAAAGCATTCAATTCGATTGAGCGTGTTCTTCCCAAAGGACAGTGGTGTGAGTCAAAGTCTTCTTCTCTTCTTCCTGTTGTGTCCAGTAGTCAGCTCGTCCTCTTACTCGAAGCAGTATACAGATGAAGTCAATTTGGTTTTCGGTTTGACCGTCTGTTGTCACCTTTGTAGCCATGTCGATATTCCTGTGCTTGCATATGCTGCAACCAACCACTAGTTTATTGAAGGCGCTGAAGTCAGCGAGAGTTCTTCATTTTCATTCATCTCTCCAAGTACTTCTTTACTCAACAGCGATATTCTCAGGCAGTCCAAAATCAGAATCACTCTGAATCACTCAACCAGGTCCACATAGCAAATCCGCACATGATCAGCGTATTGCATAACCACAAATAGAAGCATTTATCCAGAACTCAAACAGAGAATAACTGGACTGCAATGATCGTCACACTGATGTTATAAATCAGAAATGAAATGCACACAACTGACTGTGGTGAAGTGCATTTAGACAGAACAAATGTGTGACGCAAAGGATTCAGTTGAATTTTGGATGAAGTCAGTCGTCTCATGTACAGTATGTGAACTGAATCAGTGAGGTGGTGCAGAAAATGTACTTAACGGATTCTAGTGCAGTTCACACTGCTCTTTTGAACTCGACACAATGTTCTGGCTGAAAAACTATCATCATTGTATTTGAACGTTTGGATGCCAATTTTCATGTTGAATTCTGTTGATGTTCACACAGACTTGAGATCAGTGTAAGCTAGCCCTGCTTCCGCAGTCCTCGATTCAGTGATATCCTCATCAGTTCAGAACACCTTTAGTTGGCTCCTCTGTTCAGTGCTTTGTAGCTTGCATTCAATGATATCCTCAATGATATCCAGTTGAAATGAGAATTAAAATGTAGGTAGTTATATGGGTAAGCAGCCAGCCAGCAAGCCATATGTTACTTCCCTCCTAACTTCCTTCAAGGATTTTGTGAGTTTCTGAATGTGGATTACTTGTTATGCAGAATTTTCGTCGATAGCACAGTGGTTTGGACTCTCGCTCACCATGCACATAGTCCGTGGTTTGATCCTCTGCCGATGCACACCTGATATTTATGTTCAGCCTGCAAAATTTGGGCTACCGATATCCATGCTGAAAATTCCATACCTTTACCAACAAAATACGGTTGGAATCAAGCTGTTATAAAAAAAAATGTGAAAATCAGAAATTAAAGCAAAAACTGTTGGATCGGATGTAGAATTGTAGGCGGCATCCTGTATTAGCGAATTAGTTTCCAAATCACATCTCGATCCAGTTGAGCTAGAGAGTTGACTGCCATTCTGAGCTCCGTTCAATGCCATTGCGTATTGCTGCGATTTGATCAATGGATGACGTGTTTCTCAATAATCTAGCTGAGGTTTTCCATCCAGATCAGAGTGTTTGATTCTCTTCGAGGTGATGTGACTAGAAATTTTGCTTCAGATAAACAGAGGCCTAATACCGCGCGCCAAGTTCTTACGTCAAATTAATTCTCCTTTCTTTGTCATTTTGAATAAATATCTTTTCCTACAATCCGCAGGTACCTGGCCTTCTTTTCACACCTCTCCAGTGGTGGTGCAATCAAGTCCGCTGATGTCTCTGGGTCCATACTCAATGCTTCCGCCAGGATTCCATCTGGTCCTGCCCTATTCTCAGCTTTATGTAATTTCATCGCCTTCAGGGCATCTGTTTTCCTTGGAGGGTTGATGTTCAGTGGTACTTCTGGTTCCGCTGTTCGTATAACCGGGCACCTTGTGGGTAGCAGCCGATTTAGAAGTTTTTGCAAGTGTTCAGCCCACTGTTTACTTTGCTCCACGTACCCTGGAGAGAAGGATGATTGGCGGTGAACTATGTGCTCATTAATACAAATCTCAGAATTGTGAATATTTTCAATGAGTGATAATTTCATTTCTCATTATTTGTCTGAGTACATATGTTGCTATCTTTCAATATTTCACTATGAGTCGTACCGATTTCACCGGCTTGCTTGAATATCCTCAGTGACGCCTATGAAATGTACATGTGTATTCTCATGCATTCACGATACCGTCTATTTGGAACTGCCAAGATAATATTCCTCAGCGGATATCCGCAAGGATAAATGCCCAACGGTCCACTTCCCATCTGCGTTTGTTTGTGCGTGTGTGTTTGCTTTCTGTCAGTCTGGCAGTCAATCAGATTGTCTGTCTGTAATCGATTCGTTTGTCTGTTTGTCCATCCATGTGTGTATCATTGACTGGTGCGTGGTAATGGAATTCATTAACGTCCCTGATCCAGTAGATCCTGCCTCTCAAGATGGTGCATCTCTGAAAATGCCTTTCACTGCACTGCAGGCGCATAATGAATGGATACGACTGATTCTATCATCTTAGATATCTGTGTATATGTGTCTGTGTTTGCATGTTTGTAGTGTGTATGTGTTTGTGTGTGTGTTCGTGATTGCTTTTGTAGTTTGTATGTACGTGTGAATGCTGTTTCTCTGCTTGTAAATGTGTAGGCATGCACGTTAGTATGTGTCTGTCGTCGTATCATGCCGTGCTATATGCTTGCATTCTCATTCGTTCATTATTTTATTTCAAATACATGCCTAATAATAATAATAATTATTATTATTATAACTATAATGATCAGC